TTATATACACATATACAGTCACAGGACATGTTTCTAGAAGTTCTGCAGCCTGTGGAAGTCTTTGAAAAATGGTGTCATGCACACTGGTGTTTTACACTCCTCACACATAAAACAAGTGTCTTTGCATTGTTGTGGGCATTTTTTTGTATGTGCACAGACATAACATCTCTTCTGAGCCTTTTTCTTGAAAGCAGTAGCAGATAGTTTCATTAGGAAGTGATCACCAAGCCTCAGATGAGAAGGTAGTTGTTGATAATTTAGTGGGCGGTTTTCTATTGCAGGTGTTGTTCCTTGGTACTTGAATATTATTTGTCTGATGACAGACAAACAAAATTTGCCATATGGTGGTTTGTTTCTGGTCCTCATCTTATACATACTATAAGCATTGAGCATAGAAATGTTCAGAATATGGAAAAAGAGTTTTATAAGTACCACTTATAACTCTTGCGAACACAATCAGCAAACCCAATCTCCATGTCACATTTCTCCACTGAACGTATTTTGAGGGTGTAATCCATTACAGCTACAGGTTTTAGAATGGGTTCATTGGTCTCTCTATTCTGTCTGCCAGTGTTTGTCATTTCGTTAGGGTGAACTGATGACAACAGTGTGACATCTCGTTTGTCATGCCACCGAAATGCCATGATGTCACTGGCAGCAAACACCTGCACCTCACCTCTATGAATGCCAGCGTCAAACCTGGGCATATGCTTACGATTTGCATGCACTATGCCACACACATCTGTCATGTTCACTCACAAAAAATCACTGAGTAAGGGGCTCGTGTACCAGTTATCAGAATATAATACATGCCCCTTACCAAGATATGGTTCCATTATTGTTCTAACCACATCACCAGAGATGCCCAATAACTTCCTGGTATTTTGCAATGTATTACTTCCAGTGTACACAATAACATCTAATACAAGACCACTGTAGCAGTCACAAAGTACAAACAACTTTATACCAAAGCATTTCCTCTTGCTTGGTATATACTGCTTGAATGACAGTCTACCTTTGAACAGAATCAGACTCATCAATAAAGCTTCCTGAAGGGATAAAAATACATATTGAATCTCTGTTTCAGATACACATACACACATTCCCAATCTTACATAACCTGACATTTCTGTCAGGCCTGGTTTTGTCTGAGAAGTGTAGCATATGCAATAGTAGCACAAATCGATTCACTTGTATTATATCACTGAAACCTGGGGTTGCAATCAGGCGATCTGTTGACCAGTGTGATTTGACACTGTGCTTATACACATATGGCATAAGCATTATTGTGGCAAAGTAAAGATACACCTCAGCCACAGTTGTCTCCTTCCACTGGTGTAGACGTGATTTTGGTGAAAGTATTGTTTTTGCCATGGTGTAATCGAAGTATCTGTTGCTTTCCCTGGCAATAATTTCCATCAGGGGTTCGTCAAAGAATAACTTGAAACATTCTAGTTCAGTGGCATTGTTCCCATGTGTGCAAGATGGCTGTATTCCACTTTGGCTTTCATCAAACTGATGGGGATTGGAAACAAAATTGTCAACTTCCTGCCAATCCCAGTTGCGGTCTGCTGGTGGGTACTGAATATTGACAGGTGGTTGTGGTTGTGGAGGTTGTGGTTGTGGAGGTTGTGGTTGTGGAGGTTGGTGTGGTGGGTGAGTGGGTGATGGTGGCCTTTGTTGTAGTTCGTCTGAGTCAGCGGTGTGGGTAGCAGCATGGCCCACTGCTGGTGCCTCACGGCTGGCACCACCACTACCACCACCAGATACATGCATATTTTCCATCCCACTTGCAAAACTATCATCTTCATTTTCACTATCTGTTCCTGTTGTACAGCCACGGGATGTACTCTGAGATGTACTCCTTCCTTTTGGAATAGCATATGGCACACTGCCAGAGCGCATATAGCGTCGTATATACCGACACTTCACTGGAGAATATTCGACTTCACTCTCGCGACTGGAACTGTTTTCAAGAGCTTTGGAGTTAATATTCACTATCACTATCATCACCATTGCTCACATCTGAGTCCTGGATATGGGAAAATACAAGTTTCCTCTTTTGTTCTGATACAACTAAATGTGAACAAGACGGCCCAGCACCAGAGGTTGAAGATTGAGGGTCATCTGGATTTTCCTCAATATTACCGGCCCATTAGGGTTTAAATTTATTTTCCCAGTAAAAACCTCATCAAAACCTTGAAAATTCACTTCCATCGTTTTTAGAACGGTACGGGGGGAAAAAAAGTGTCCCAATTCCCCAAAGGATTTGGGGTTTGTTTCTTACCACGGGGCATGGTGAACATGGTGTACAAAAAATGGTTTTCCCCACAATGTACCACTTTTTTGTTCCAATTTTTTTTCTAGTGTGCACATTTGCCCCATGCGGGACCATTCTCTCACATCTGGGCCTGCCAGCCTTTTTCTCGCTTTGATTTGAAGGTGCTAAAAATTTATGTGTACCAGTACATCAATACCCTTTGGGACGTAAGACCATACTGTAAAATCGGAAATTTCCCGAAAAGGGGTTTAAAATGTGGTTTTAGGAAAGGAAAATCCATCGTTAAATGAGGAGAGGCTGTAGTACACTCATTCTTACCCCAAAATTTGTAGTCTTAATATAGGGGTGAGATGAGTGTATTTCTTCTTTTCTTTAAAAGTACCAGCCGTATTCCCCCTGAGGTGGGGTGGCCCAAAAGGAAAAAAAAGAAGTTTCTCCCTTTTTTAAATTTAGTAATTTTATACAGGAGAAGGGGGGTTTCTAGCCCCCTTTCTCCCCGGGATTTTAGTGGGCCCCTTACGACACGGGGATGGCTTACAGGGAAAAAATTCTGTTCCACTTCCCCTTTGGGGATAAGGGGGAAATAAAAAAAGAAAAAGAAATTAGAAAAAAAAATAGAAGAAAAAAACCCCGAGGGGGGGTGTTTTATATATGCTTTTTACATGTAGTTAGTGTGACCAAGTGTAAAGTAGAAGTTTGCAAAACTTACCTGTTTTCTTGCATATTTATGAGCAGACCAAAAAACACCAGCAATCCCACCATCATGTAAAACAATTCAGGCTTTCGTTTTACATCCTTGGCAGGACGGTTTGTACCTCCCTGGTTGGTTGCTGTCTACCAACCTACTACCTAATGAGTAGTATTTATAGTAAGAAATCAGGTGTGGGAGGTATGGCAGCCACCACCCACACCAGGCCACTCCACCCACCCACACGTAATATACTACGACATTTAAAGCATCCCAGAGTGATAAAATGCTTATACAGTTCACTCATTACCTACCTTAAAATATTTGTAGTCTTAATGTAGAGTGAGAAGTGAGTAAATGAGATAAAACGAATAAACAAGAGAAAAAGAGTGAGTAAATGAGAGCGGATAGATGCAGAGGATGTAAACAAACAGACGAACGCATCTGGCTTTTTATTTATTTATTTATTTAATGTCTTTGCAAATAGTACATTGAGATTTTGTACTGACAATAGTGGGTTGCAATGCAAAGAGAGCCTCTATTATACCTAGGCATTATGGGCCGACTTAACATTATTGGCTTACAGACTACTTAACACTAAGGATTATATCATAGGTGTACAGTAGGACAGTAATTTTTTCATAGTTGTACAGTAGATTATTAATTATAAGTGAACCTAATTTGTATAAGACAAAAGATATATTCATATATTCAAAAATGCTTTTTAAGAAAACAATTTTGGTTCATATGTAAGTTTATTCAGGAATACACAAATACAGTTACATAGATTATTATATACATAGTAGCATATGTGTAGAGAACCTAGGATAACCCAAAAAAGTCAGACAATGTGACTTATTTCCATTGTATTTCCATTTGTATTATACCATAATACAAACACTTTACAGTGTGTACCACTTGTCTCCATGTTGGTACAGTAGAATAAATAAAGAGCAACACTCTCATTCTCATGCAACACCATTTTTAGAAGAAATGACGCTCTGAGTGAAGGCACATGAAAAGAATAATTTTCTACAGTTACCCCCAGTAATATTATTGAATACACATTTTCTTTGGGGTTGAACTAGAGAAAACATTATTATTTCCGACACTCCGGCATGACGACTAGAAAAACATCTCATATTTATGTTAATTTATTCTACTGTGGGGTGTATTTATCATGTTTATATGTTATGTAGCATGTTTATTATATAATTTTGAAAAAAATCATAGATGGATAATTAAAAATGTGTATATCAACATAATATATGACAATTAATGTGCCTCAGAGTGATTATTATTATGTATTATTATTATTATTATTATTATTATTATTATTATTATTATTATTATTATTATTATTATTAATATGACATCCTCAAGACTAACAAGACACTCTTAGTGATTTTAATGCATACCTGCATGCCAGCACAGTGTGTAAATTTATTTAGGTACAGGTACACATAAGTATAATTATCAGAGTACATATATATATATATAAAACATAAAATATAAAATAACTTTAAAACACTTGAAATTTTGGAAAGTTTCCAGACATAATGGAGAGATGCAGTGTTCACGGAGCTCACGGAGAATGTAAACAAACTGGGTGGGGCGTGGTGACCGTATTAAAAAGTCAGGTGGGGGGAGCCATACAGCGAGGTTTGGTCATAATTTGAAATGTACGTGTTAGCGGAATGCTGTAAAATGAAATGCAGTAAAGCGGGGCCCTACTGTATCTCGTTTGCATGAATTTACCTAACTCAAGGAGGTCTTTAAATTGCTAGGGGAAAAAAGGGACTGCTAAATATGGAAAATATAACCTAATATTATGTAAGGAAAGATAAATTGCCAAATGAAATTAGTTGATAATACTGTACACAATAAAAAAAAAAAGTATAAACATTAATCTCCCACCGCTCTATCTGCTTGATTCATCTCACTATATATTTTGTTGTTATTTGTTATCTCTGTTTCATTACTTGACTAGTACCATTACTTTTAATTTGTAACATACAGATGTATTCTTACTTGAATCCTCTGCTCCAGAAGAGTGTTATTCCTTTCAGAATGGCCTGAACAATCCTGGGATGGAGCTCTATCAAGATATTCTCTCTGGTCTCATTTAATTCATCAGTTTGGTCTTTATTATCTTCACGTTGTCTGTATTTAGAGAGTAAAGCACCAGAATCTTCGACCAGGAGAGAAATGGCCTGCACCAACACACTGAGGTTGTTGTTGTCATATGTTAGGGCACACATGAGAACATTCATAACAGTCTCTAAGTAACACTCTGGGAACTCCTCACCAATGAAGGGAAGGGACCTAGGTGTAAGATACAGTATTATCATTAATATCTCCTGTATGTGACAGCATAATTTCCATAAAAAAATGTCAACCTCATGCCAATTTTACAATTTATGTCTAGCTGCAAAGTGACATACCCCAATATGGTCCTTGCTCTTAAACAATCTTTATAAGGTTTATAAAACATGAAAACTTACCTATGATGAAATTTTTTGTGAATAATTAAAATTAATAATCACCAGATACATACAATGACATACATAGTAATACAATCTGCAATAAATATTGTAGTACAGGCGGCCATCACTAACCCAGTTTCATCAGTAATCTGGCACTAATTCTGGCTAGCATAATTTCAAATTTCCTGGATCGCCTCACCAACCTGCCGCAACTTATTGCATAAACACTGTTGGTGTCACTTGCATAGGCTAGCCATTAAAATTTCTTTTTCTCCATTTATTGTCATAACCTGCTCACTTTAACCCCAGCCACAGTTCCAATGACAGGAAATGCTTCTTGCTGTGTAAAGCAGAAACACCATACATTGTCCATAAAAGATAAGGTTGAACTTCTGAAAAAACTTGACAGCGGTGTGTATGTGAGAAGCTTGTCTGAATTATACAGCACTGGCTCTTCCACAGTTTATGACATAAAGAAACAAAGAAAAATTATTCAGTTTCTTTGCTAACAGTGATACAGAGAAACAGACGTGTAAAAGGAAAATAATGAAGGAAGGAATGAAGAAAGGAAAAAGTTTGGAAGTAGATCAAGTTCTGATGAAGTGGTTTAGACTACGTGTAAGTGAAGATGTTGAGTTGTAAATTTCAGCTCTTCACTTTGGAAGTGGCAGTGATGAACTTTCTCGCGTAAGTCAAACTGGTTAACTTTATTAACTCTTTTACTGTCAGTCTGATTGTATCATGGCTTTGAAGCCAGTCAGTCCTGTTGAATGACACGATGAGCTTAGCTCACTCAGATAAGCTGTGACCAGTAAATTTGGGCCTAGATATGAAAGAATACATGTGGTAAGTGTGCACTATATAAAAAAAAAAACCTGCAGCACGAAGTGCATAATGAGAAAAAACTGTGACCGTGTTTTTGATGTAAAACAGCGACTTTGAGGTGTAGTTTCAGGTGATTTTTGTATGGTTGTACGTATTCTCATTTGTTTGGTCTTATTTGATGGAATGGAAAATACATTACAGAAATATAGATGATTTTGATTGGTTTCAGAATGGAAATACCTTGAAACTGAGCTCAAAGTACGGGAAATGTTCAATTTTTGCTGATCGAGAATAAACTAAACATGTCATGTGTCCAATATGTGTCCAACTTGCTGGTCTAAAACATGGTCATGAATGGGTTCATATTATTTATACAGTTATTACAATAATGTAGTAGTCTGCATAACATCAAATCTTCTGTTTTTTTTTTTTGTGAATAAAAATTCAGAATGGAAAGCAAGCGTAATATAAGAGGGGCACTGGAAATGTGACTAATGAACAGATAAAATGTTATTTTAGTGCCAAGAATGTCTGCATTGTTTATTCTGGACACTATTTTGAAATTGGCATCTCCTGAAATTTGTGTGAAACTGGCAAAATTACTGATTTCTGATCACTTTACTGGGTAGTTGAAATAGGGAAATGGGCAGTTTCTTTTACTCATTCGACAGAATAGAAGGAATACTAGCGAAACAGCTATGAGTTTGGTCGACTGGACAGTGGAATTGGCCAAAAATTGGGCGTAAAATGAGCGAAATCGCCAATGCGTGAACATCGCTGAGACCAGTAACTTTGCAAGAGCACAATTCCGCAAGTTTTTCACCAAATTTCGTACTTTTGGTTTCATTACCTTCGGAAAATGAGTGTCCAAAATTCATAAGAATTGTTTTTTTTTTTTAATTTTTCGAGACTGGGGGCAAGTTTGCGAGCAGGGGTCATGACAGTGAAAGGGTTAACCAACTTGCACTGATTTATGGGGTACAGTGGACCCCCGGTTAACGATATTTTTTCACTCCAGAAGTATGTTCAGGTGCCAGTACTGACCGAATTTGTTCCCATAAGAAATATTGTGAAGTAGATTAGTCCATTTCAGACCCCCAAACATACACATACAAACGCACTTACATAAATACACTTACATAATTGGTCACATTCGGAGGTAATCGTTATGCGGGGGTCCACTGTATTTTAAAGGTAGCATGAGGGGGTTAGCCATTGGGTTAAATGTATTCTAACCTAACCACTCTGTAATCCAGCAAAATAACTAATCCGGCACCCTACAGGTCCTGATGATGCCAGATTAGTGATAGTCAACCTATATTATATTCCTAGAGGATAAAAAAAAAAAAAAAAAAAAAAAAAAAAAAAAAAAATCATATCAATGCTTATTTTTTTTTTAATAAAACCTTAATTCCTAATTACTTCCTGATTAATTTTCTTGTATAACACTAGATTACAATGTTCTCATACCGTATTACAGCCTCTCCTCACTTAGTGATGGGTTCGTTTATCGACGACTCAGACTTACAACAGGCTCTCTGACCAGAAGGCATATCTAAATAATGTATATGAGAGCTGATTTCCTCTATTCTCTTTATTACAATATACACTGCACTACTGTATAATTGTTAACCCCTTGACTGTCGCAACCCCCAATCCTGAGGTGTCTCCTGGTGTCGCAAAATTTCAAAAAAAATAAAAAATTATTTTTTCTTAGGAAATGATAGAGAATCTTTTCCCGATTGTAATGACACCAAAAAAACGAAATTTGATGGAAAACCGATGGAATTACGCTCTCGCGAAGTTAGCGACCTCGGCGATATTTACAAATCAGCGATTTCGCCCACTTTCAGCCCTATTTTCGGCTAATTCCATTGTTCCAGTCGACCAAACTCATAGCTATTTCTTTAGAACTCCATTTTTTCTATCGATTAAGTACAAGAAACTGTCCATTTACCAATTTCAACTACCCAATAACGTGGTCAGAAATTTGCAATTTGGCCAATTTCACAAAAAATAAAAAATATGACAATTTCAAAATAAGGTCCAGAATGAACAATGCAGACATTCCTGGCTCTAAAATAACATTTTCTTTGTTCATCAGTCATGTCTCCAGGCCCCTCTGATATTACTCTTGCTTTCTATTTTGAATTTTTATTCAAACAAAAAATAGAAGATTTACTATTATGCAGACTACTGCAATACTCCAATAATTTTGTAAATAACATCAATCCATTCATGACTGCATATCAGAATGGCTAGTTGAACATTTATTGGACAATGACATTATTTGTTTACTTTTGAATATCGGCAAAAATCAAACATTTTCCCTACTTTGAGTTCCATTTCCAGGTTCTTTTTATAGTAAAATCAATCAAAATCACCTCTATTTCTATAATATGTTTTCCATTCTATCAAATGAGACCAAGAAAACGAGAATACAACCATAAATACTATACAAAAATAGATCACAAAGTCAGCATTTTAATTAAAAAAAAACAGTCGGAGTTTTTTTTTTCTCATTATGCACTGCGTGCTCCAGGATTTTTTTTATATGGTGCACACTGACCACACAGACCCATTCTCTCACATGTGGGCCTACCAGCTTTCTCCTTCTTGATTTGAAACTGCTAGAATTTATGAGTATATATACATCAAACTCGGTACCTCGTAAGACATATATATACGGCCGCGACAGTCAAAGGCTTAAAAAATACACCAGAAATGTTATAAATGGTGCAAAGGTGACATTCAAACAATAACAAAGACGTTTGACACAAACCCATTACCATTATAGTATGCTCCTCACTTAGCAATGAATTCGTTTACCAATGGTGCCATAGGATAACCCAAAAAAGTCAGGGTGACTTATTTCCATAGGGATCCCTGTATCTGTACCATATGGTGTCCTATACTGTATGGTACCCTGTACCATATGGTACCCTGCACCACATGGTACCCTGCACCATATGGTACCCTGCACCATATGGTACCCTGCACCATATGGTATCCTGTACTGTATGGTACCCTATACCATATAGTACAATGTACCATATGGTACCCTGTAACATATGATACCATATACCATATGGTCAGTAGGAGGTGTTGATGCCATGAGGCACCAGCCAAGACTGAGTGACGACGCAAGCTAGCTAGTGACTCCACAGTTTCCAAGACAAAGCGCTTTGTCATCCACCTCAAGAAACATGTCGAGTGGCTGTACATTTGTAAATATATAATAGAACATTACTAATATACATGTACAACATTTTTGCATATTTTTGTTGTAAACAATTATTGTAAATGAAATAATGATGAAAATATTAGTGTGTTTATTGTGTTGAATACAACAGTACGATATGGTACAATGTACCATATGGTACCATTGCACCATATGGTACCACTGCACCATATGGTACTGTAAGGTACCATTGCACCAAATGGTACCTTAAGGTACCATTGCACCATATGGTACCATTGTATCATATGGCTACCATATGTACCAAAATGGATGCCATTTATCAATTCCACCTATAATGGACCATTGTATCATATGGTGCTATTGTACCATATGGTAACCTATTAACCTATATACCATTGCACCTATGGCACCATTGTACCATATGGTACTATATGGTACCGTTGTATTCACACAATACCCGCCACTAAATTTTCTCATTTTGTTTACAATAAACTTGTCAATCAGTTTGTATGCAATATACAGTGGACCCACCCGCATACATTCGTACCTATACCTCCGAATGCGACCAATTATGTAAGTGTATTTATGTAAGTGCGTTTGTACGTGTATGTTTGGGGGTCTGAAATGGACTAATCTACTTCACAATATTCCTTATGGGAATAAATTCGGTCAGTACTGGCAACTGAACATACTTATGGAGTGAAAAAATATCGTTAACCGGGGGTCCACTGTAATGATAAACAAATTAGTGAAGTTATTGTGTTGAATACAATGAGTGTACACTTATGCAATATACATTATATTTGTCTCACTAGAAAAAGAAAAACATTAGAAAAGAAAAAAGTATAAAAAACGTAAAATGAAAAAAATGCGATTTTGCGAAGTCGCTGATGTTGCCACCACCCGGTCATTTTGGGTCGACTTCCCGCTGCTGTATCTTGGTAAGTACTGATCAGAATTTTTTTATTTGTTTTATTACCTTTACAAAAATATTATCTTTAATTCTGTAAGAAAAAATAATTTTTTTTTTTTCAAAATTTCTTGGACACTGGGGCACCCCTTCAGATTTTGGCCTTGGACCCTGAAAGGGTTAATATTCTACCAGGTACAAATTACTGCAGTTATCTTACCATACTTTCTAACTGCCATTGCTCAATGATGTGGAAGAGTGTGTGGAATGGGTTGACGTGGTCCTACTGGGCTGAGGTGGATGGCTGAAGTTCATGTAGAGTTGTCAGTAGTTAATGGTTGTATTGGAATACTTAAGTATTCTGTAATGTCTCTAGTCAATATTACTCTACAGTGCTTTACAGAGCTACAAATAAGGCATCATTACCTGTTTCAGATTCTACTTCAGAGCAATGCTAAGGTGCCCTTCAGTGAAAACTCTGCAACTTTACTGATAGCATGGAATTACCAACATAACTGAGCAGTATAGACTCTCAGACCAAAGGTGTGGACAGTCTGTATCACACATGCACCACCTCCATAGCATATCTCAGAGTTCCACTTCCTTTAGTACCATCAGAGCTTATTAGTCTATTTTATTTTTACCATCACCAGTATTTTTCTTGGATGCTATGGTTAATATCCAGAAATGAAAGTGAGTGATGAAACGATCCAAAAACGTTTGATAAACACAGTGAATAAGGCACTCAATGCTCCCAAAAAAACAACTGTAGGTGGCAGTGGGTGAGGGGACTTATTTCAATTTAATTAGGGGGAAGAACTAAACCTGTATGGGTCACACAGTACAGTACCTGGGTTTTTATCCAAGAAAGAAGAATGGAGGTCCAGTTAATGTACCTGGATCAAGAGCCCTTCACTGGAATCAAGGCACCTTTCTTGGGGGAAGTGGTTAAGGGGAGAAGATGTACCACTCTAAACACTCAGTCCTTGGGGCCCAACTTGGGCAGGAGAATAAAATTTCACAGTGGGTAGTTCCTGGATTTTTCACCAAACTTGATGCTTTCATGTTTACGAACCATACTATTAAAGATTCTCGTTTGTTTTGCAACTCTGGATACTCTTTGTCAATTATATTTACACAAAATTGCATAGTTTGTGTCACTCTATGAAAGGGTTAACTGCAATGTTATTATCATATTCACGGGATACAATAAACCCATAAGGGTCATACAACACCTGGGGACAGGAGGTAAACAGATTTCATCAAAGAAGGGGAGATTCCTTGGGCTAAGATCTTAGCCTTTCACTAACATCAAGTCATACCTCCACCCCTACTGAAGGATGTATAAATAAATGAATATTACTAAAGCCTCATTAACTTACTTCATTATCTTGTTTCTTAGTTGCACTTTTGGCTGCAACTGCAACAATGCTGACACTAGCACTTTGATGCACATCTTAGCTGATTCTTCACAACCTGATGCTGCTGCCACAAGCTGTACATTTATAACAATGAACACATTGAGAAAAATGAAATAATAACAGAGGTCATTTTGTAACAGACAGCAATCTACATTATTAGTGAGCTAAAAACAACATTCTCTGAAGGCCTGGGTGAGTGAAGAATTTTGGTGTGCAATGTACACATACACTGTATTACATGAAGAACCATGTGTGTAAAAACTGTAATATAAAATTGTGGTAAATACAGTTAACATTTTTCTTTAGACTGTAATTATCAAACATTTTTCAAACAGTTATTTGAAAGGTACAATAAAATCTATGAGAATAGGCACTTTTACTTTCAAATAAAGTATTTAAAAAAAACTGAGCATAATTCTATATTCTAGCCTAGACAACTCCAGTGTTAATTTCTTCCCCCCCACCCCCCTGTCAATTTTATTTACTACTGTGCTAGGTTAAATGTACTATGACTTACTTCACATTCTGTTAGCCATCACTTGTAGTGCTATAATCATCATCAACAATAATCTTGGTAAAGTCAGCAGGGTAACTTTCTGCAGTTACATACTTGATCAGCTGATGCAGCCTCACCAGAAAACTTAAACTATAAAATTTATTGTGCTTCCTAACATTTTCAAGCCAGAACTAAGCTTACATTACTGTGAAAGCTCTCCTTCTATCTCATACACTTTCATAGTAAGGTAGGGCTTTTTGCCTTGTTGCTTGAGCACCAAGTAAAGCCCCTTTCTGGATTTTTTCCTGTCTCCTCAGTAAGTAATTGTTTTTTTCCTTGTTTAGCTATACAAACCTCCTTGTCATTCTTATTTATTTATTTATTAATTTGAACATGATACAGTGAAGTACAAAATAATACAGTTAAATGCAGCATGCCAAAGCCCGTCTCCTACTTCAACAGCTCATTCTTTCTACTAAATCACAGGTTGAAGATGCCTTCTTTACTTTCCGTCAACGTCAACGTGCTCTCTTTGCGGCTCTACCACAGGATCTCTATAACCTTCTCTCTACCATTGCCTTTGACACTGCTCGCCTGAATGCACAAATTCATTCTTCCAAACTACAGAATAAACTTCAACGTCTCATCTCAGCTAGCCCTTGGTCTAAATTCTCCCTCACTGACTGTGTTACTAATCTGTCTTCTGTCTCACTCTCTCAGTATGAGCTTGAACTTCTTGGTTTTGGCCTTTCCTTTGCCACTTCGCCTACTCCTCGCGCTGGTATTTCCCTGATTAGCTCTTTTGATTCCTTTCGTCAATCTCGCTTCCGTAATCTTCCTGACTTGTCCACTTTTCGTGGTGCTCTCCTTCCTGCTCTTGTTAGTCTATTTTCTAAGAATCACCACCTTCCACACCATTACCAACTTGCCCTTTCTTCTCTTAAATCCAACACTAACATTGTCATACTATCTTCTGACAAAGGTAATTTGGTAGTTATCCTTGATCGCGAGGATTACCTCCGTAAAGCTGATGTCTTGCTCTCTGACTCACGCACCTACACTCCTCTCGTTTCCAACCCTCTTGATCGCATCAAGAGAACTTTCAACAAAAAACTAAGGACTCTTTCCGACCTCTGTCCTCCTGACTTTGACCTTGTTCAACGGTTTCGTGTCATCTGTCCCTCTCTTCCCTATTTCTATGGCCTTCCCAAAACTCATAAACCTGATATTCCTCTTTGTCCTATCATATCCTCTAGAGGCTCTGTCTCTTATTCTCTTGCTTCTTGGCTGGCCAAAACCCTCACTCCCTTTCTTGGTACTTTTTCTCCTGCCCACCTCCGTCACTCTCAAGACTTCATTGAACGGGTTTCGCTCTCTCCCAACCTGTAAGATGCTTAGTCTTGACGTTGAGTCCCTCTTCACCAATGTCCCTCTTGATGATGTCCTTGATTTCCTTAGAGAGAAGGCCCATGAAGGGTTTCTTCATCTCTCCTATCCCCACTGATGTCTTTCTTGATCTGATCCGCCTCTGTGTGGACTCTAACTCCTTTTCCTTCCAAGGAAATATTATTCTCAAACCTTCGGTGTTCGCTATGGGCTCTCCTCTCTCTCCTGTCCTTGCTAATCTTTACATGGAATACTTCGAGACTGTTCTTCTTCCTACCCTCGATGTGCAACCTTCACTCTGGCTCCGCTATGTGGATGACATCTTTGCTCTGTGGCCTCATGACTCCAGTCTCTTCCAGCCTTTTCTTGAAGCTCTTAATAATCTTGCCCCTTCCATTAAGTTTAAAGCTGAATGGGAATCTAATTCCTTGCTTCCTTTCCTTGATGTCCATGTCCACCGCTCAGATACAGGTTTTTCCTTTTCCGTTTACCGTAAACCTATGCACAGTGGCATGTACATTCACTACTTTTCCTATCATGCTTCCCCTGTCAAGAAAAGTGTTCTTATCTCCCTCTTTATCTATGCCCTCCGCATCTGTGATCCTCAGTTCCTTCCAGCAGAAATTTCCACTCTTCATAATTCGTTCTCCCGTCTTGGCTACCCTTCCCATTTCATAGACTCTGCCCTCTTACGTGCTAAATGCAATTTCTTCTCTCCCAAACTCTCTACTCATGAGAACTCTTCTATCTTCTGCCTTCCCTACACTTCCGGTCTTTCTAATCTCAACAATTCTCTCCGTCCCTTAGACATCAAGCTTACCTTCCGCCAGACTAACACTCTTCGCACTAATCCCGTTCATACCTCTCCTCCCTCTACAGATGTTCCTGGTGTCTACTCTATTTCTTGCTCCTCCTGTCCTCTTCAATACTTCGGAGAAACTGGTCGATCTCTTTCTGACAGACTTAGGGAGCACAAAAATAGTGTTAGGCTTGCCGACACTAACAATGCTCTTTTCTGTCACGTCAGAGATCATAGCCATCCTATTGACTGGTCTTCTGCCAAAACTGTCTTCCCTACTTCCAACTCGAACAGTCGCCGTCTAGTTGAATCCTCTCTAATACACAACTTTCCTTGTATGAACTTTAGCCCTGGCTTTGTCTCTGTAGATGCCTTCCTCTCCCACTACACTGTAAAATGCTCCAAACTTCAGAACACCCATGACTTAACCTGAATCCTCATTTTTCTTTTTCTTTTTTCTTCTTCCTCTTCCCCTTTCCTCTTTCCTTTTCTCCTCTGGGTTGTCTTTCTCTCTCCTGTCTCGTGTTTCTGTTCCTTCTTCATTTATTTCACCACTTCCCTTTCACGCACCTCTGTGCGCTTGCTCTCCCTCTGTGGGCATCTAGCTCTCTTGCAGTGCTCCCCTTCCTTTGTATTTGACTGGCTCGTCCTTTTTATTTCCCACTTCTACCACTACCCCCACTACTACCTCTTCTTCTTCTACTACTACTACAACTACTGATGAAATTGAGACACAAGTGCGGCGTCTGGTTGTCTTTGTTGTGGACGTTTCGCCATCCAGTGGCTGGCTGGATGGCGAAACGTCTATGATGGGGATGCCCGGGTGTTGTGCATGTGTCTTAATTTCATCTTGTCGGTATTATATACTCTTGTACTACTACTACTACTACTACACTACCACACCTCTTCCTGCCTATATATAGCCGTCCTGCTCCACCTCTGGTTAGTGTGACTTTGTCAATGGTCCAAGTCGGACTGAAACATCGTCGTAAGCTTCTCTCTTTTATGTGCGGGTTATTTGTGTATCGTTCCAGTCACGGTATTGTGCCTTTTTTGTTAATTATAAACTATTATTATAGAACTGATAACAAGTGCAACATTATATTGTCAAACTTGTGCCATAATAAGAGTTAGCATAATCCCTGTAGTATTTTATAATTACTTTCCTTAACTCTTCGACTGTCACAACCCCAAATCCAGAGGTGTCTTCTGGTGTCGAAAAATTAAAAAAAAAAAAATTATTTTTTCTTATGAAATCATAGATAATCTTTTCCCAATGGTACTGACACCAAAAGAACGAAATTTCATGGAAAACTTACGGAATTACGCTCTCACGATGTTAGCAACCTCGGTGATGTTTACAAATCAGCGATTTCGCCCACTTTGATCCCTATTTTTGACTAATTCCATTGTTCCAGTTGACCAAACTCATAGCTATTTCTTTAGAACTCCATTTGTTCTATCGAATGAGTACAAGAAACTGCCCATTTACTGATTTCAACTACCCAATAATGTGGTCAGAAATTTGCAATTTGGCCAATTTCATGAAAATTAAAAAATATGCCAATTTCAAAATAGGGTCCAGAATGAACAATGCAGACATTTCTGGCTCTAAAATAACATTTTGTTTGTTCATCAGTCACGTCTCCAGGCTCCTCTGATATTACTCTTGCTTTCTATTTTGAACTTTTATTCAAACAAAAAAAATAGAAGATTTACTGTTATGCAAACTACTGCAATATTGTAATAATTGTATAAATAATGACAACCCATTCATAACTGCATATTAGAATGGCTAGTTGGACATTTATTGGACAATGACATCATTTGTTTACTCTTGAACATTGGCAAAAATCAAACATTTCCCCTATTTTGAGCTCCATTTCAAGTTCCTTTTCATAGTAAAACCAATCAAAATCACCTCTATTTCTATAATATGTTTTACATTCTATCAAATGAGACCAAGAAAATGAGAATACAACCATAAATACTATATGAAAATACACCACAAAGTCAGCATTTTAATCCAAAAAACAGTCGGAGTTTTTTTTTCTCATTATGCACTGTGAGCTGCAGGATTTTTTTTATATGGTGCACACTGACCACACAAACTCATTCTCTCACATGTGGGACTACCAGCTTTCTCCTGCTTGATTTGAAGCCGCTAGAAATTTTGAGTATATATACATCAAACACACTGGCTCGTAAGACGTATATATATATATATATATGTATATATATATAATGTGCGAGTGTGGTGAAAGTGTTGAATGATGATGAAAGTATTTTCTTTTTGGGGATTTTCTTTCTCTTTTTTGGGTCACCCTGCCTCGGTGGGAGACGGCCGACTTGTTAAAAAAAAAAAAAAAAAAAAAGACCGAAACAGTCAAAGG